TCGCCCCGAGGTTGTAAACTCATTTCCCCCAGTGTGGTCTGATCTGCTACTCGGAGATGGTCATTTGCTGTCATTTTTGGGAAGGCGTCTCCCTATCGCAAGTGCTTAAGAACGCTCTTCTTTGTTTCCAGTGATTTTTAATACAGATTTGTAGCATTTAAGCTGCCTTCCGTTGAGTGTTCATTTTGTGGAAAGGGGTTAGTTCGTGGTTTTCAGGTCTAGCCTCCAGCCAAGAGCTGACCCAGGCTGCGGGGGAGCACTGAGTCCCGGCCACTAGACCACCGGTTGGTGTGTCACGAAGCCACAGCAGGAACTTCCCTGACCCTCAGGCGAGCGAGGCAGATTTGTTTGGGGAAAGAAAAGGTTTAGTGAGGGAAAAGGGACAGAATTTTAAAGTGGGACTCCCAGGGCAGGGAGGGGCGAGGAAGCCTGGAGGAGCGCGCGCCTGGGTAATACAGACGCCTTTCCCTGCTTATTCCCAGCAGTCTCTGTGATTGGTTAGTTCCCGGTGGTCTCACTCACGTCTCTGTGCCCAGAGCTAAGTCTCTGTGCCCCAGCCCCGGTCTTAGCATGTTTTTCTTTTTCATCCCTGTTCCAGAATGTTCTCTTACCCCTAGTCCTGAGGGTGTTTGAGTAGTCCCCTTTTGGAATTTGTTGTCTGGAGCCTTCTTTAACTCTCCTGAAGTCCCTGCCCGCTCTGTCCGTGAAGCTGCCTGATTATCCCTCACTTGCCCTAGAACTCAACTGTGACCATGCCTTTCTCCCCAGGTGTTTGACCATTTGCTGAATCATTTTCCCACTGAATGGAAGTGACATTCCTATCTTCCTAGTGTCTCTACATATCTCCCACATTTCTCCTCCCATGTGTCTCTTGTAGCAGGATGCAAGTCAAAGCCAGAAAAGGTAGACAGTCCATGCATACAGTTGTTCAGTTATAAACCAAGTATGGCCACTTAACTCTGCCTGTAGGTCATGTCAGCTGCCCATTCAGAAAGTCAGGTTCATAGCATGCTGGAAATTCTGTTTTTCAGAGCCTGCAATCTCTTTCTTGTGGAGATAGGGGTAGCGTCTATAAAAATGCCAGGGGTGGATTGTGCCTGTAATGGGAGAACGTTGCCTCGAATGGGGGAAAACTCCATGTTAACGACTTTTCTAAAGATTTATTTACTTAAGCATACAAGAACTGGGGTGCAGGCCAGAGGTGCAGGGGTGAGAGGCTCCACCAGAGACAGAATGGGAAGCAGAACAAGTGCAAGACAGGAGCAGCAGCAGGCATGACAGAAGAGGTCTGTTGTGCCATGTGGGTCACCTCCCTGACCAGGGATTCAACTCAGACTGCAATGGCTGGTGATAGTTTTCACAGTGTTAAGACAACCCCTTACACAACCAGGAAGGCCCCATAACCATGATTTTTGCAGGCAACATACACTGATGGATGCTAAAACTACTGGATTTGAGAAGAATCAGGCTATTTCCATAATTTCAAAGTATCTCCCCAAACTACATAGGGAAAGATAGTAACTAGGGACAAGACTGGTAAATGCCATTTTAACAAGTAACAAAGTCTAAGGCATGTTGATAATATAAATCTACTAATACGATGCAGTAAGAAAGATACCAAATTATGTCTGTGGTGTCTTACATATCACCAAAAATACTTAGTTCCAATTATGAAAAAACATCAGACAATTCCAAGTTGAGGGACAATCAATTCTCTTCAAAAGTTACCAAGCTCAGTCTCTGGGTGCTGCCCTGGTTTGTGGTGACAAGGCCAAACAAAGTGAGGAGTGTCTGTAAATAGGGGATCCATTGTGGTGCCTCTCAGGAAAATGGTGAGAAAAACTGAAATCAGCCAGCATGCCAAGTACTCCAGCCCTTTGGCAGAACCAAGATGAAGAGGTAAGCTGTGGGGATCCGCCACTGGGGTTCCTACACGCAAATGGCAGCTGGGGGTGTCTGGCCGGACTGCACCACTTCTGTAGTCATGAGAAAGTCGGCCATCAGAAGCCTGAGGGAATTGAGAGACCAGTAGTTGTACAATTTGGGACATTGCCTATCTGTAATAAGTGGATTAATTAGTGTGACAGTGGTTTTGATTTGTTAATGTTCTGATGTGCATTGATTGATTTTGCTTCTCAAAGGTTTGGAAACTAAATCCTTTAATTTTTACTACAAAAGTATACTGAGGTGGGTTATAATCCAATGTTTTTTTTCCAGTAGAAGGATATATAAGACTATAAGCCTCACAGGCTAGGTATGTGCCTTAGCTTTTTATAACTGTTCATGCCACCTCAACTTCTTAAAGATTTATTGGTTCAAATTGTGTAAACTCTTATTTTAAAATCACAGGTAAGCCCACTTTATTTCTGTTCCTTTTCTCCTCAATAAACTTTTTCTTTCTATTAAAAAATAAAAACACAGTTAATGTTTTTAGCTGTTTCAAAAGATAGGGCAACATTTTGTCTGACTGCACTTTGTATTACAGAACAAATTTTGCAACTGTTACATCACTCTCCTTTGTTCAGTTTGTACACAGTTCTTCACATGCTTGGATTATTCAAGTTTATATAGAGGGTCACACTAATAAAAACTGAAGTTCCTTTGTGGAAAAAATAGTTAAAAGCTCATGATAGAAAGCTTGAGGAACTGTTACAAGTTGGAGAAGATAAGGAAAAATCACAACTAAATGTAATATGGTATCCTGGATTAGAGAAAAAATATTGGAGAAACTGGTGAAATTTTAGCAATTTTAATAATATTTAATTCCTGGATTTAATCTTTGTATAAATTATTCTTTATCCTCTTGAGGTTTTTCTGGGGTTCCCTCTGTACATTTTCACATGAAAGTCTCTGAGAAGTCCTATTTATTTTTTTAATTTATTTATTCATACAGAACTGGGGTACAAGCCAGAGGTGCAGGGCCAGTGAGAGGCTTCACCAGGGACAGAGTGGGGAGCAGAACAGGCAGATGTATGTAGTACCCTGTTGAGGGGACCAGCGGGCGGTTCACAACAGGTCTGCCGCGCCGCGTGGGTCAGCCTGGGGGCGGGAATTGAACTCTGCCATGAGGCTGCAGCCAGCTTGCAGTGCTGCGTCCTAACCCATTGCGCCACCAGGGAGGGCCCTCTGAGAAGTTTTATAGCAAAGAAACTTAACTTTGTTAATGCCATCCTTTTCTACACTTGCTTTTATCTAGGAAAACCTCAGGTGATATCTAGAGTCTATTTCAGTTCACACATATAAAGGAGAAACCCCGTTCTACCTAACGTGGAAAATGCAGGTTTTGTTGTGAGTGGATGGTTTTGAGGTGCTTGGGTTTGAAACCTCGGTGCATTGTCACAGATTCTGTCTCAAGTCCTCAGCCCTTAAGACCTTTTTAGATCTTTTGGTTGGTAAAATAAGGATCTAGTCTTAAAAGTACATTTAAATTACTCCTGAAAGATCTAACCCTTAGTGAACTGACCTACCCGAAACCAATTCAGTCCAAATCTCTGGGAATATAAATTGAACATTGGCATGTTTTAAACTTCCCATGTGTGGCGCTAAAGGTAAACAAACCACTGAGTTCTCCTGAGCTTCCCATATGCCACAACAAGCAGGGCTGTAAACAGAGGAAGAGAAGTATTGCATTGAATTCTTCAAACTAAAAGAATTAGAGTAAGAATTGCCTCAGTTATGTCCCAAGTCTTTAAGCTCACTTCTTAGGGGACTTCTCTAAACTGGCTGCCACTCCAGCACAAAGAAAAAACTCCCAGGATTTCATTTTATCCTTTATATTATGTATTGACAAAGTACTTCTTTTCTCTTTTTCCCAGTTATGCCTTCTCAGAATGCTGTACTTTCCCAGGAAGAAAACATGAAAGTGAAGGAAATGAATGATGAATCACAGATATTAAAGTCCCAGGTAAGTCAGTACTACTCTCCTCTGAAATTTTGTTATACTTCTCAGAATGTGATCACTTTTATATTTCAATTCTCAGAAGTACTAAGAAGTACTCAGAAGTACCAAAATCCAGAGATCACAAATTATTTCATCGGGCAAGCAGTAAGTAGCTGGACAGGAAAGAAGCCTGAGAGAAAGACTTTTTTTACTAAGTACTTTTTAATATGTAATTGTTTCTAAACTATATTGATAGATTATCTACTAACAGTACAATGCAAATGAGGATATGAAACCAAAAAAAAATTAAAAGAACGGGTAACCAATTACAAGGTCATCATTCAAAGATGAGAAAGAAGGAGAAACTTAGAGCCCAAGGCTTGTTTAAGGGGCATTAGCAAGGGAAGAAATTTACAGACCATCTTTTATTTGAAACCCTTAGCTGTACTGAGGTAGTTTCTTTTACTGACCCCAACATGTATCATGTGCCTTCTACATTCAATTTGTTTGCCATTGTTTCTTTTTCCTGTTTTGTTTTTTTTTTAAAGACTGATTTATTTATGCATACAAGAACTGAGGTACAGGCCAGAGGTGCAGAGGTGAGAGGATTCACCAGAGACAGAGTGGGGAGCAGAACAGGCAGATTGACTGAAATACACTGCTGAGGGGAGCAGCGGGCAAGCTACGTGGGTCAGCTCCCTGGCTGGGGATGCACCTTGTGCTGCAGTGGCTGCAGATAGCTTCATAGTGCTCTGCTTTAACCCACTGTGCCACCAGGGAGAGCTCTCTTTTTCCTTTTTTTAACCCACCAAAATATTCTCTCTCCTTTTCTTTTACAAAGCTTAAAATTCTGCTAAGAATCTACACAAAACCCAATGTCTTGAAAAATGGCAGAAAGATGGATACTAATTGCTTTTTAAAAATTCTTGACCCACATTTCTCAGATCTGAAAACTCTCAGCACAGTGGCTTAGACCTCCTAACCTCTATTGCTGTGCTTTGGCCTGTCCCAGAAGGCCCCTGTAAAAAATGGTTTCTGGCTGAGCAGGGATCTTCTTGATGTTTCAGGAATCATTGACATTCCAGGATGTGGCTGTGGACTTCACCAGGGAAGAGTGGGACCAGCTGTACCCTGCTCAGAAGAACCTCTATCGAGATGTGATGCTGGAGAACTATAGAAATTTGGTTGCATTGGGTATGAGAGACCTGTGAAAGTGACCATTCTAATGAGTTTATTTACTTAAGTAGTGAACTCCAGAGTTCTAGAAGGCTGTAAATTGGTTTTAAAGATAAAGACCCTGTTTCTTGTTCTTTCTCTTTATGTAAAAGACCTTGATTTTTTTAAATTTGATGTAGGGAGCTTTGTTTTGGAAACCACTCCTTTCTAAATCCAGGGACCATGAAGATTAAAAAGGCTAGAAATGAGTTCTGAGAAAAAAAAGTTGTGTTCCCATTATAAACTCCTTAGACATTTATTTTTCCCATGAATAGGGCACCAACTTTATAAGCCAGAGGTGATCACTCAGTTGGAACAAGAGGAGCAGTGGATGATGAAAAGGAGCAGCTCGCTGGACTCTCACCCAGGTGAGAAGCAAGCATGCAGGGATTTGCTACTCAGTTAAGGGAAATAATCACTCAATATGCTGAACCGAGTATGCTCCAAATACCTCCTGGGATTTAAAGAATACTAAGATCTTTTTTTAAAAAATCAGTTCATATTTGACTTTCATTAAAAGTGAAAATAGCCCTCTTTTTTTTCTCATTAAATAGACATTATTTTAAAAATTTACACAACACAAAAATATTTTTGAATGTTGGAACACCCATAAATACTTTGATGTTACAAATCACATAGTAGTTCCCATTTTTTTATTCAGACATCCTCTCTCAACATTCTTTAATCTTTCCTTAATATCTTTCTTTAATCTTTAATTCTCCCCTTTTTTCCAGCTAATCACTCCAAATGCTTTGGAGCCAAAGTCCATGGGCAGAAAATAAAGTGGTCCAATTGATAATTTGGTTGAAATGATAAACTGATTTAAAAATGAATAACTTAAATCACTGTTTTCTCCACATTTGATATAAAATTCAGACCAACAATAAATATTAAATCATAGTTAGTTCATTTTCTGTTATCTGTTGTGCATCTTTAAGCATATTGAGTTATTTTCTGGCTTGGGTTTTTTTTTCCTTTCTAAAATTTCTGTCATGTTAAAAAAAACCCTATGTTTATTGTGCTATTTATGAAAAAATAAGTTTTATATAACCTAAATTTTAATTCAAAAGACTTTGGTATATCCATAAAACTGATATTTCACAGTCCTTAAAAATTATATGGAAATGTGTTTGTTGATATGGAAATGTGTTCATGATATGCAGTAATATAAGAAAGAAAATATAAAACATTATGGTATAATTATGTTTTACTGTTTAAACCTGTATGCAGATTCAGCACATACTGCCCAGTAATGCAGTATGTATTCTGTTAATGAGTGATAAGTCTTTATGTCCTTCTCTTCTTCCATTCTTCCATCATCTCATGACCTAGCCCAGGCCCTTCACTGCAGAACATAAATCCAAAATATAGGAATTCCAAAGTAACTGGAAAATCACTTCCCACCAGCACCTTGTATTTTTTTAAGTATGAAAATGTGCTAAATATCAAATATTGCTTGTTCATATATGACTTATATATTTTTTTGTCTGAAAAGGAAACTCTATTAAGATAGACTCCAAAATATGAAGTGATAACCTGTATGGGGTGAGATACCTTCTTTATGCATTTCCATATTAATTGAACATATTACTATAAGAAGCTTACTCTTGAATAACACAGGGATGAAGGGTGTCTACCTCCCACACAGTCAGAAATGCAGTCCTGTTGACTTTTCCCAAAGCTTAACTGCTGTTGGCTACAAGCCTTACTGATAACATAAAGAGTAAATGAACACATATTTTATATACTACATGTAATATTTTACATACTATATGTATTATGTATTACAACAAGTTAAGGTAGTGAAAAGAAAATGATATTAAGAAAACCATAAGGACAATACTTTTGCAGTACTATATGTATTTGTCAATATTATAGGTTTATGTCATCTGTTTACAAGATGAATTGTCTGTCAATACCTACACAAATATTCTTATATGATATAAAAACACAATAGTAGAAATGTTATTTCAGCACTAGACATCAAAAATGAAAAGATAATGAGCAAAAGAAATACATATTATTCACAGGCTTAACAATTCATGCATTGATAATTATTTTTTTTTAATTTATGGGTAAGTAGAGCCACAAAGGAGAGTTCAAACCTTTGATGTTCAGTGGTCAATTATAGTCACTATATCATTTTAAACAAAAGATTAAAAATAGGAGGAAGTACTTTCAAATAAGTAAGTAGCTCGCATTATAATAGAATGAACTACAACTGGGATTTATAGACTGGGATATGAAAGACTGAGTTCATCCCAGTCTTCTCTAAGTATGGTCTTTTTTCTACTATCTCCTACTTTTCAAACACAGGTTTTTCTCCATTCTGTGTTCTCCTTTGTATTTCCTTTTAACCATAGATACACCTGGACTATCTTTTTTTTTTTTTTAATGATTGCCACACATTCAAAGTTTTCCCCCTCCTCACTGCTTTTCCTAGTTTTTCCTTTCATAGTGTTTGGCTATTGATAACAACCATATTTTCACGTTTCCAGCACTACAAATGCCTACTCTGCACCACTGTCAGTTTCATTTTGTGATTCATTATGCAACAATTTCATTTTTAAAACAGCAAATACTAGAAAGAATTTGTATGTTCTGCATTTCTTTTAGATGGGGAGAATAAACCCAAAATTAAAAAATCAACTCTAGACCAGGACATTTCTGATGAAAATCAAACCCATGACATAATCATGGAGAGACTAACAAGTGACAGCTTCTGGTATCCCGTTCTAGGAGGTCTGTGGGACTTTGATTGCCAGTTAGATTTTAACCAAGAATCCCAGCAGAGACATTTAGGACATGGATCTTTCACCCACAAAAATATCACAAAGGAAAGAAGTCTTGAATGTAATAGATTTGGGGAAAACTATAATCTGAACTCAAGCCTTACCATGCATCAGAGAATTCCTTCGATTAAATTACCCTTTAATTCTGATACACAAGGAAATAACATCAAACATAATTCAGACATGATTTGCTACCAGGGAAACTACGTAAGACAGGACCCTTATGAATATAATGAATGTGAAAGAATCTTCAATCAACACATTCATGCTAAAGAGAAATCCAGTGAATATGGGAAAGCCTTCAGCCACAATTCATCTCTTACTCAACCTCAGATAGTCCTTACTGGAGAGAAGCCCTATAAGTGTGATGAATGTGGGAAAAGATTCAGCCAGAGGATACATCTTATTCAACATCAGAGAATCCATACAGGAGAAAAACCTTTTATATGCAATGAATGTGGAAAAGCCTTCCGTCAACATTCATCCTTTACTCAACATCTGAGAATTCATACTGGAGAGAAACCCTATAAATGTAATCAATGTGGTAAAGCCTTCAGCCGTATCACATCACTTACTGAACATCATAGACTTCATACTGGAGAGAAACCTTATGAATGTAGTTTTTGTGGGAAGGCCTTCACTCAGAGAACACATCTTAATCAGCATGAGAGAACTCATACAGGAGAGAAACCTTATAAGTGTAATGAATGTGACAAAGCTTTTAGCCAGAGTGCACACCTTAATCAACACAGAAAAATACATATTCGGGAGAAATTATGTGAATATAATAAATGTGGAAAAACCTTAAGCCACAATCCTTCACTTACTCAGCAGCACATAGCTCATAGGGGGAAAATCATGAATTTATAAGTGTAGGAAATTTTTGGTCAGACCTTTTCATACCATTCAATAATTTATCACAACAGAGAACGATTATAAGTTTATAATGCATAGCGACCAAACAAATTTAGACCTGAAATTAGTAGCAAATACTATTCCCAGAAGTGGTTATAAACAGTAAAAATAATTTATTTTATAAGCAAGATTATATTGGAGTCAGGTTCTAAATCTTCTATGAAACTTTTTTTAATTATCAGAAGTCCAGTAGGCAATAATTGATATAATTATTTGCCTGTAAGTTTTATGATACAAAGTTTTAAAATTATATATCAAGGCAATGATATAACTAGTGACATAGAATTGAACTAGCCAGCAGAGAGCTATATTTCTCCAACCTGAGTCATTTGTGTGCTTCCTTTACAGTTTTTACCATCCCTAGTATTTATCTAAAATTTTTCTTTAAATCAACTCAGACTTTTAAGCCATGCCCTAGGAAATATTACTGAAATTATGAGTTTTGTATGCTAATTCTACTTGCTGTTTCCCATCAAATTAAATATATACCTTAGAAATGAAAAACATTGTGTGTATTGGTATACTGCCTACAATCTTGTGTACTACTATTTAAGATATAATGGTATAGCACAGTGACAATAATAATATATTTTTATTCTGTTAGTGATTTTGCATTACTTTTGTCATAGGAGTCCTAGGATCACTTAAAAAAACATCTCAGGCAAGAGTGAGTGTCTTATTGTTCAACTTTGACAGACTGATTCAGAGTACCCCATTTTTCTTTATTCTAATTTCTCATTTACCTATAGCAAACAGATTTTTTTACTTAAATTGTTGTTTCTGCTATGTTTTCAGAAAAGAGTTTTGTTTTAATAATGATCAGAGGTTAAGAGCCCATATGTCACCTTGTACCCCTGAGGACTGTAGCAGAGGGTGAGCTGTGGTACCGTGCTGAGGCTAAGAACAGGGGAGAATCTCACTGACTATAAACAACTGTAAAAGCATTGCTAATTGTCCTAATTCAAGGTACGTGTTAAAATATATGTATGTTATGGCCCTCCCTGGTGGCGCAGCGGGTTAAAGCACAGCACTGAGAATCTAAAAACCGCTTCCACATGAGTTTGATTCCCACCTGCCCCGGAGGTGACCAGATGGTGTGGCAGACCTCTCCTGACCCACCCGCTGCTCCCCTCAGCAGTGTACTTCGTCGATCTGCCTGTTCTATTCCCTGCTCTGTCTCTGGTGAAGCCTCTCACTTCCCCGAGCCTCTGGCCTGTACCCCAGTTCTGTGTGCACAAATAAATAAATCTTAACAAAAAAAAATCCTCCACCTCTTTAAAAATATATGTATGTTACACTTTTTTCTAGAAAGAATTTAAGGTGGTTTAATAAGAATTTTATAATCATTGCCTTGTTTTATAGAAATCACATTTTGATATAAAGCTTTATAAATGTAAACTGTCCTAAAACATAAGTAGCAGCAATTATGGGCCTGCTTCAGTTTCTTGGCTTTTCATTTTTCTCTCAGTCCTCCCAAGCATGGCTAAAGGAGCCTTGAGCAAATACAGGAATACTGTTTTCTATTTCCTCATGCTTTTTTCTAACATATCTCCCTCCTCAAGAATTCCCTGATTTTTTTTTCCGATGAAAGGGATAGATTTTATAGGCCTAAGTGAAAGCTGAAATGATTTAAAGGCTTTTAAAAATTAAAACACTAAAAACCAAGAAAGTAAATCAATAAAATTAAGTACATCACAAACTAAAACTTTTCCAAGTGTACTTATGTCTCATGCAAAAATGGATATAAAGCAGTTAATAAAACCCTGAGTTAACTAGAATCAGGAGCTTTCTAATAGTATTTTATGTTCAGTTATCTGTGTGGTAGAGATCACTTTGGGGTGCAGTATCTCTGGAAGTATCTCATCACCTGAAGGAGCTGTATTTAATATTAATTTACCATAAAGAGTATAGGGCACTCAGATTTTAGAGTGAGCTAAAGTGAAGTCTCAAACAGCAGAGTTTTATCTTAAGTCATGATCAGCAGTTGATAATGGCTTTGGTAAGTTTAATTTGCAGCGAAGATTAAAATAAAAACCTCAATATACCACAAAAAAGTAATTGCTCCAATATAAGGCAATATATTATTGCAGCACAAATGAAAAAAAGAAGAATATGGGATTTTCAGAAGTTGGACAATCCCAGAAAAGAGGTGTCTGGACTGAGCCAGACAGTTGGCTAAGGATTGTCACCAATTCAAACTAGGAATTTCAAACTAGAAAGCATATTATACATTTCTTAGAGTAAAAAATGATTATGCTTATATTGATTGTATAGTAAACTATGCCATTCTCATATGAATTCATTCTCATGTTATCCTTGGCCTCTTTAAATGTTCCAGGTTAAGGTGTGAACCCAAAATACATTTGTTACATTGAAATACAGGTGCTCCTAGTATGGGAACCAAAGGCATTGTACTCATTGAAAAATCTGGGTTACAGTTTACTTCTGTCTCAGAAGGCAAAGCATTATTACCCTTTCACCTCTCTTTACATGATCCATCTAAATAACGCCATCTAATCAGGTGTTAATGCCCTTCTTTTATGAAAGACTTACTTAACCTTAGACATCGTAATAAGTAATTTATTATTCAAGATTATCCAGACTGAAATGTCATTAAAAACATCATTCACCTTATTCCTAATCCAGTGGATACAAACAGTGCCTGGAACAGTCTTTTATAACACTCTGAAACGTTTGATAAATGTATCAACATTAATAAAATGAAAGATTGCTGTCAACACTAAAGTTTGTGTGACTTAGTTTCTTAGAAACTGAGAGCATTAAAGGATCATGTACATAGATTCTTATATCCAAAAGGTGTGGACTTGGACAAAAACATTATGATTTGTTTTTTGATTAATGTTCAAGTTATTAATTGAGGAAACCAGCTAACGTTCTTTAAGCAGCCAGAGTTCCTCTGCTTATTCATAGATAGACACTTAATAAAACTTAAGAACTTCAATATTTAGATATCCCCATTCTTCCAAACACTGACTTCATATTTAAACAAACATTTAAACCATTGTGAACTGTAGTTGGTAATAAATAATGTATCAATATTGGTTCATTAATTGCAATAAATGTACATATGCTATCAAGATGTTAATAGTGAAAGAACAGGATGGGGAGAACATGGACGACAGGTATATGGGAACTTTCCTTTAGACTCAATTTTTCTGTGAACCTAAAAGTGCTCTAAAATGTCTATATAATTCATTTGAAACAGTGACTTAAAACGTAGTGTTCCAGGTGAGAAAATAATGATAATGATGAACAGCTATATACCAGAGACATTTTGTGGGGGTAGAGTGGGGAATGGGATCAAAAAACAGCGGGGGGAGAGAAATGCACTGGATTATGGTAATAGCACATGGGTGATTTGGTGATGGGAAACCCAAGGGGATTGCAACTGAGATGGGAAAATGCACAAAAATATGTAAAAATAAACTTATAAAAACTTTTTAAAACATAATATTCCAATCATATGTATTTTTAAGATTTTTATATTTGTTTATACATATAAAACTGGAATGTATGCCAGAAGTTGGGGTTGAGAGGACTCACCAGAGACGGAGGGGGAAGCAAAACAGCTGTATTGACTAGAGTATACTGCTGAAGGGAGCAGTGGGTGAGACAGAGGATGTCTGCTGTGCCATATAGGTCAGTTCCCCAGCCAGGGATGGAACTCATTGCAGTGGCTGGCAATGCTTTCATAGCACTGAGACTTTAATCCCTGCTGAGACTTTAACCACCAGAGAGGCTCTAGTCATATATGCTATAAAGGATGCATTCATGAAAAAAAAGTCAGGTAGAAGATCTAGTATTCTGGGAAGATGTTCAAGACAAGATGAAATGGTGTCATCTAAATTATTTAAAGAAATATGCACAGGAGAAAATACCTAAGGGTAAGTACTAGGAGATAAAGTATCTGGTATCAGATATGAATATCAGGAGGTAAAACTATCTGATCTACTATATGTTATCTCTGTACAATATTCCAGAAGGAAGACCAGTTACCAAGACAATTCAGCCCTTCATTGATGTGGAACCTTGCTGACTCCCCGCTTTCTGTTTCTGTTTCAACTGTGTTGCACTGATGATCGTAGGTGTCCTAATGTAACTGCCCAAAGTTACATTAACTTAGGCTGATTCCTCCCACTTCGGGATAAGCCTTTGTGTTGTCTCTAGAATGGGAACTTTTGCAAAAAAAAAAAAAAAAAAAAAAACACCAGGAATGATGCCATTAACAGAGGAATCTGCTGTCCATGCTCTACAAAACTATTCTGTTCTGAGATACTATGTATTAACAATTCCCCAATTCAAATTCTACTTTTTTAAAAAAGATTTATTCATTTATGCTTACAGAACTAGGGTAGAGGACAGAGGTGCAGGGGTGATGAGAGGATTCACCAGAGACAGAGTGGGGAGCAGAGTAAGCAGACTGACAAAGTATACTGCTGAGGGGAGCAGTGAGCAAGTCCAGAGAGGTCTGCTGCACCATGTGGCAGCCCCTCCAAGGGGTGGGGGGAACTTGCACAGAAGTGGCTTCCACTAGCTTGCAGTGCTGAGCTCCAACCCTTTGTGCCACCAGGGAGGGCCCTCATTCTATTTTTAAATGCCAATGACCTTTCTTCTGCTGGGGTCTCTCATGTGCTACCTCTTGCCAGCAGTCACGGAGGGGTTAGATGCTGGGTCTAAGATTAGGGTGCTTGTAGCCAAGAAACAAATCAACCAACCACTGGTAGCAGGATGAAAAGTTACATAGATAAATATTATCACAAGCTATAACTCCATTTTGCACAAAAGCCTATTTATCTTTTCTAAAATTCTAGTTGTTTTCCCACAGGAGCCCATTTTTCCTCCACCTTTCCCTCATTGTTGGCATATAAATCCCTACCTCTAGTTGTTCAGCGAATCTATCTGTATATGGATGTATAAGTCTTGTCTTTTTTCTTGGTTGTCTCCTGTAACTTCCCTCCCCTTCCCTTCCTGCCCTCTCCGATAGAAAAAGCCATGATTTGAGAGCACAGCAAGGTGGTGGCCATCTGCTGTGTGTCAAGAAAAGAGTCCTTACCAGAAACAGTCCTTTAGGCACCTTGATCTTAGATTTCTGGACTTAGAACTGTAAGGATTATTTTTGTTGTTGTTTAAGCCAATCAACCTGAGGAGCAGAGTAATACAACTAATTCTGTTATTATCTACACATGCACATACACACATTTCCTCCTCTGTGTCCCGTCTCACACACTGATCAATTTCCAGTCACTTTTCCATCCACCTTGGGAAAGGAGCGCCTAAGCACGCTGAGAATGAAAATTTGATCAATACATAGTCTCTGGCTAGGGATCATTACTTGGGAGGAGGACATGGGATGTCCTCTCATTCTCTCTGCTCCAGTTTAGATCTTTACCAATCCCTGACAAAGTGTCCAGACTCTAAACCTCTCCCACTCCTATTCTGTTTTCCATTCTCCTACCACAATGATTTTGAAAACTAACAAAAATGATCTTGAAAACTAGAAAGTTATGCTCCTCTTCCCCCACAGGTCTTTAATGAAAAATGCCTCCTGGGGAGAGTACTATCAGTATCCAGCGTCAATCCCGTCCACACTGCCCCTCACCCTATATTCTGGCCATACCAGCGTCATACTATTTACTCTCACAATGTCTGTTCATGTTCTCTTTCTACCTCAAAAGCTGTCTCCACATCCCATCTCCTCTTCCCAAGTAATGATCCCTAGCCAATGTATTGATCAAATTTTCATTCTCAGCGTGCTTAGGAGCTCCTTTCCCAAGGCACCATTACTCGTGCCTTATTTTATAATTGTTTCTCTACCCACTTATCCCTACTGACTGTGAGCTTTTGAGGGAAGTTAAGGGCAGCCCTTTGATTCATTGTTTTGCCTCCAATGCCTAGCAGAGCTTGGGAATAAATGTCCATAAATGTTTGTTAATAAACAAGTGAGCGGGCCCTCCCTGGAAGCTTAAGCCACTTCTGCATGAGTTCGATCCCCACCT